ATTGTAAAGTTATACTGCTTATAAAGTGGTATATCATTTGAGACAGATTGTGTAAGTTAAACATGTACACTAAAAATCCTAAAGAACCACTAAAATAACAAAATGAAGATTTTTAGCTCAAAAGCCAACAAAGAAGATGAAACAATAATAAAACTTGATTAATTTAAAAGATGGCAGAGAAAAGGGGAAGGTGGGAATAATAGCTGAGACAAACAGAAAACAAGTAGCAGTATGTTAGATTCAATATTTAACCATATCAATAACCTAATTAAAAGCAGATTTAAATTAAATGATTTCCCACCATAATCTGACTAAAGCCACATGATACCCATATGAGTGCAATAAATCTGCAAAACTGGGAGAGATAATAAATCATTGCTTTAAACCAATATATTTTCAGGAGATTTATTATTCTGCAGTGATTAAATGGAACATCAAAACCAAAGTCTGGTCACCACATCCATGTGTATAACTGTGCTTGTTCTAACAATAAATTTTGTCCTCCTGAGTCTAAAACACTGACGACTCATTTCCAAACATAAAGACCTAGGTTTCTGACCACATAAATTGGAAAAAAAACTTGCAATTCTTTGGATGCAAGAAAAAAAGAGATTCCTTAAAGTCAGTTTTCTACGGTTCTCTAACTCTGTCTTTAATTAAAAATTTCAAGTGCTGACTTGGTCATTTTCTCTCTTCAACTTCTCCCATGCATTTTGCACAAAGCCAGGCAGGGGCTTGATATACAATAAATATCCTTAAACAAACAACCAGCTACAGCTTTGTGTGGGAACCCACACTGGACACACACACACCCCTCCTCTCCCAGCTCCTCCCTTGTGGAAGGCGGGACTTCCTGGGGCTGCTGTCATCCTTGTTCCCGGGGGCCTGCTTCATCCGCTCACCCTGCCCCGGCTGGCAGGATGCCCTGGTCCTTGGCCCGAGATTCAAGTTGAGCAGCAGTCACTGGCCTGGGCCTCTTCTAGACGTTCTATGTCCAGCATCTTCTGGACGTTCTATGTCCCTTGATAAAGAGCCAAAGCCCTGACCCCCTCTCCCAGACCCCAAGACCTGCCACCAGTCCTGCACCTGCACTGTGTTACCCTGATGCTGTTTACACGTTTGAACATCACTCATCCATGAAGTGACCATCCCCACACACACTCCAGTGTTCTCACTCCTCCTTCACCTCCACACCCATGGGTTATAACATACTCTCCTGAAAGAGATGGCAAGTTTCCCTTTGACTGTCAATGAGGATCTGACAGTCAAGAACACACCCTGTGTGTAACGGACTTGCCAGGGGAGATGAGAGTGGATGAGGGGCAAGGCCAGGTGTGGGCTCCTGCCCTACAGCAGTTCTCAGGGGTGCAGCAGGTTAGACATCAAAGGGCAGACTCTTGCTGTTTTCAGTTGCTAAGTTGTGTCTGACTCTTTGTGACCCCCAAAGACTGCAGCACGCTAGGCTCCCCAGTTCTTCACTATTTCCTGGTGTTTCCTCAGATTCATGTCCATTGAGTCACTGCTGCTATCTAACCATCTCACCCTCTGCTTCCCTCTTCTCCTTTTGCCTTTAGTCTTTCCCAGCATCAGGGTCTTTTCCACTGAGTTGTCTCCTCACATCAGACTAAGAGCACAGATTCAGAAGCCAGCTGCCTGGATTCAGTCCTGATTCGGTTCCTTCCTAACAGTGAGATCTTAAGATTCATTAAACTCCCCCAGTCTCAGTTTCCTTGGCACAAGGAGGATTATCAGAAATTCCTACTTCCTAGGATGTGCTCAGGAACAGACGAGCTAGTATATGTAAAACCTTTAGCCTAATTACTGGCACATGCAGGGGGAAAACTGTCAGAAAGGGGAGGACCCTTTCTGAAATACCATTCTTGTATTATTTTCTAACATCTTAAACTCTAAAAACAAGACCTGAGGATGTAAAAATGTAAAAATGAAAAAAAACTCACTCCAGGGCTTCCCTGGTAAAGAATCTGCCTGCCAATGTAGGGGACACAGGTTTGAACTCTGGTCTGGGAAGATCCCACATGCCACAGGACAGCTAAGCCTGTGCCCCACATCTATCAAACCTGTGCCCCAGGGCTTGGGAGCCTCAACAAGAGAAACCACTGCAATGAGAAGCTCTCGCACCAAAACTAGAGAGCAGCCCCTGCTCCCCGCAATGGGAAGCAGCCCGCAAGCAGCAGCAAAGACCCAGGGCCGCTATAAATAAATAAATAAACCTTGAAAAAAAAAGTTATTGATTAAAAAAATTTACTTCAGTGAAAAACATTTATTTAAAGAGAGAAAGAAATAATGGGAAAGGGAAGCCCTATGTGTGGAATGCATATGCATCAAAATTACCAAGGGGAATGCATGTCATTTCAAGAACGTGTACAGCACTGTTGAGAACCCAGTCAGTGCTTGCCCAAAGGGTGAGGGACAGGGAAGTAATTGGGAGAATCTAAAAGTCATTGACTGATATCTACCATAAACTCTGGACTGAGGGGTAATTTATTCCTTCCAGCTTCAGGTGACTTGATTCTCTGCAACCAAGTCCCCCAGTGGCTTTCCCTTGCTCAAGGGTTAACTATATACACATATGTAGGATTTGGTTCTATCCAGGGTTTCAGGCATCCACTGTGGGCTTGGAACGTAATCCCTGTTTCTAAGGGGCCACTACTGTATATCTTTTTGAGTTGGGGGTCTTCATTCCCTTGGGGAGTATCCAGAAGTGCAACTGCTAGATCATATGACAATTATATTTTCAATTTTTAGAGAAATCGCCATACTGTTTCCCATGATGGTTGCACCAAATTTCTCTCAACTTTCACTCCACTCTCCTCTTGTTTGCGTGGTTTCTAAGGAGACGTTCGACATAATTCTTATTTTTACTCCTACGTGGGCAGGTGCTGTTTCCCTCTGGCTTCTTTTTATTTGTGGTTTTGGTGTTTGGCGTAAATTTGGGAAATTCTCAGACAGTAGTATTTCAAGTATTTCTTCTGTTCCTTTCTCTTTTCTGAGTCTAGTTCTCCCATTAAGCACATGCTACACTTTCTGTACCTGTCTCAGAGGTTTTTTGATATTCTATATTTTTCCAGTCTTTTTTCTTTTTTTCAGTTTTGGAAGTTTCTATTGACATATCCTCAACCTCCGAGATTCTTTCCTAGCTATAGCTAATCTAGATAATGGCCTCATCAAATGCACTCTTCACCTATGTAAACATTTTGATCCGTAGAGGTTCTTTTTGACTCTCTTAGAATTTCCATCACTCTGCTTCTATTATCCATCTGTTCTTGTAGGCTGTACTTTCTTCCTTAGAGCTCTTAGCATAACTTTGTATTCAGTTTTGAAACCGAGACGTGGGAATCCTCCAAACTTGTTCTTTGTCCAGACTATCTTGGCTGTTTGGTGTCCCTTTCAGTGCCATATGAATTTTAGGATCTGTTTTCCGTTCTGCACACAAAGGCCACCGGCATTCTGACAGGGGGTGCACTGAATCTCTCAAACCACACTGGATAACAGTATTTAGAATCATTAACCGTATTAACAATATTGTCTTCCAACCCACAAACATGGAACGTCTTTTCATTTATTGAGGTTCCTCGTCTGTAATTTCTATCAATGGTGTTTTGTCATTTTCAATGTAGAAGTCCTGCACCTCCCTGGTTAGATTTCATCTTAAGCATTGTATTCTTTTTTACACTACTCTAAAAGAATTGGTTTTTTACTTTCCTTTACAGGTTGTTCAATGTCAAGGTATAGAAATAGGGAAGAAAGCTCAGAGGGCCCAAAGATGACAAAAGCAAGCAGCTTTCCTTTACATATGGAGTGTCTGGGAAACTCTAGGCACTCAGGAACTTAGGGATTCATTAGGTCCTATGTCTTTAGAAGACCCCCAGACTGGAGGGGTCTGGAAGGATCTGGGTGCAGCCTCCTATGTCACACTTCATAACCCCTGAAAGCTGCCAGGCATTCCTAAGCGAGGGGAGACAGAAACCAGGAAAGTCATGCACCATGGTTTATGTTGTATCTGCCCGAACATCTGACATTCAGCTCCTGAGTTTCAAACGCCCCACCGGGCTGACTTTATCCTTGACTTCTCAGTATCAAGTTCCTTGTGCCAACAACCCCATTCTCTAGTCCTCTCAGCATCACGGAGGGTTCATACAGAATGTCTGGCATGTATGCAGGCATGTTACAGAAAGGGGCTGTAACGGTTAATCGTCTGTGTCATCCTGACGTGCTGCTGGGTGGTCAGGTCTTGGGTTATACATTATTTTCAGTGTATCTGTGACAGTGTTCCTGGAGGAGATTAACAGCTGAATCCACAGACTGAGTTAAGCAGACTCCCCTCCCTAAGGTGGACGGGCTTACTCCCATCATCGGAAGACCTGAACGGAACAAAAAAGCTCACCAGCCTAGAGAAGGGAGGATTGTTCCTGCCTTCACAATGGAACTGAAACACTGGCTCTTCCTGGGTCTCAGGCGTCCAGACTCAGACTAGAACTACATAGCGCTACTAGAACACACACACACACACACACACACACACACACACACACACACCAGTTTCTCTGGAGAACCCTGACAAATACAGGGACCAATAAATATTTGAGGAATGAAAAAACAAGTTAAAAGAGGCTCACATATAAAGTTGCATCCCTTCTTTAAACAGCCCCACACCTGACCATCTTCTTCATGACATTCTGAGACACTCACTCTGTCTCTATTTCAGGGATAGCCCTTGACATATTGGCCAACTGGGCCCTTCCCAAACCACACTTCCCATTCCACACCTGGGACGACTTTCTCTTTGCGCCAAATCTGCCCTTGATGTCTTCCCTACAAGCAACAGCCAAGTCCTAGTTCACATCAGAAATATTTTATTATCACTGGCGTAAGTGTGAGGGCAGGGGGACATCCTGGCATCTTCTGGGAGTGGCCATGATCCTACACATTATAGAAGAGTGTAGTGGGGTGGATATCTTCACTGGAAGATCTTCTGCCCCTTACAACGTATCCACTGAAGTCAGCACAATATCTCCCCTCACCTCCAGCATTTTCACAGACTGTAGGGGCAGGCGGTGGGCAAAGAGGTAGGTGGACTTGTTATTCACAAACACCTAAGGAAGGCGATATATTTCTTGTGAGCTCAGAACAATTAGGCCTCCTCTTTCCCTTTCCTCTTTTCATTTCCTGCTGTAAAAATTCTTTACTCTGTAAAAGTAAAGCAGAAATTCTCCTCCAGGTCATCCTGCCAGGACACTGCTGCAGGAATCATGCTCCATGTCCACTTCCTCGCCTCCAGAGCTGCCATCCCTGCTTTACCCTGAGGGCAGGGGGCCTGCACGTCTCCCTCCGCACTGCAGACTGTCTGATACAGCAAAAGCGGTGTGGAGTTCACCTCAGAATCTCGCTTGTACAGCACACACACTGCTTGAGATACTGAGTATAGATACCTATGCTATACAGGGACAAGGTGCTCAGTCACTCTGTCATATACCTGAAACTAACACGGTAAGGTAAATCAACGATACTTCAATTTTAAAAAGCACATGTGTTATATATGGACTTTAGAAAGATGGTAACGATAACCCTATATGCAAAACAGAAAATGAGACTCAGATGTATAGAACAGACTTGTGGACTCTGGGAGAAGGCGAGGGTGGGATGTTTCAAGAGAACAGCATCGAAACATGTATATTATCTAGAGTGAAACAGATCACCAGCCCAGGTTGGGTGCATCAGACAAGTGCTCGGGCCTGGTGCACTGGGAGGGCCTGGTGCACTGGGAAGGCCCAGAGGGATCGGGTGGAGAGGGAGGTGGGAGGGGGGACTGGGATGGGGAATACATGTAAATCCATGGCTAATTCATTTCAATGTATGACAAAAACTACTGTAATGATGTAAAGTAATTAGCCTCCAAATAATAAAAATAAATGGGAAAAAAAAAAAAAAGCACATGTGTTAAAAATACAAAACAAAAAAAAATCGGTCTGTTGCGATCACATCAGAGTTGGACTCTCCACATGTTTCTCCACAGTAGGCCCAATACAGCCACGGCGCTCCACAACCTGGAGGGCCCACACACCTGGTATCCATTCTCCAGCACCAAGAATCGCAGCTCAAATGGCTGGCCTGGCGTGAAAAGGTCAGAAAACACTCTCTTTTCCTCTTGCCATTCCCCTTCCTGGAAACTGTTCATCACCACCGCGCTGTTGGTGTAGACTCGGAAATGGAATGCAATGCTGTTGCCTTCCCCAATACCTGTGCAGAAATCCACCACAAACTCTGGGTTATTCCTGCAAAGACAAGAGGACAGCTCCTGCAGGCAGGCATTTACTGCAGAAAACAACTTCCTCAGGAACAACCACAGTCCTTTTCTCTCTCTCTCTCTCTCTCCCCCTCCCTCCTTCCCTGTCCCCCTGCCCTCTTTCTCAAAATATTTACACCTTTCTCACTTTGCCATCTCTCTCTCTCCTTTTCCTCCTCTGCCTCCCCCACCCCACCCCCCACACAGAGGAGGGAAATCCCACCTGGAGTGTAATCTCACACTTTGGCATGAGATACCTCAGCTTATTCTGATGATTAAAGAAGATCAAGCTGTTTCCAATGAGTGTCCCCAAGACATGCTAACACTCTCCCCCTGTGCTTCACCCTCCATCAGACATAAACTGGTCTCTACTCACCCACAAGGGCACTGAACATTTGCCTTGAGCTTCACCATGTAACCCACAGTCAGGGAAACAGACTGGTGGTAGGGGATTGGCTATGGAAGAGACGGACGCATCAGTGAATGAAGAGCCAGTGTTCTCTCTCCCACATCACGGCCCAAGCAGAATCAGGACACAAAACATGATCCCCTCCCGCAGCTAAGAGACGTTAGTATACCTCCAACAAGGAGACATTAATCCGAGCCCAGACATGTACTCAGAGGCACAGATACATATATTATATACAAACACTTCCAAACCCAGAGAAACAATATGCAAAAGGACATACAATAATGCAAATCCAGTGATTCCCACTCACACACACACACTCTTTCCCATTCTCTACCAGGATTCATGCAATGATTTGTGTCAAGGTGACCTGGCACAAGCAGCAGAAGTAATCAGATTCCTTCCTCCCATCCTTCATACCAAGGAGTCCATAGTCTCCAGCTGGGCCTTTCTTCCCTGTTGAAACTGTGTGTGCGAGTCTGTCTGAAGAAGGTGCCCTATGTATGCAGTTAGGAGGTGAGTGACCCCTGAACCTGTCACTCAGGCTATAGAGCCCTGCCCTCTATTCTTCTGAAATTCATGACATCAGAAGTGTGTTCAGTCCACACTATCAAAAGTCCGCTGTGATAAGAAGTGGATTCTAACTGTACTAGAGATGCTGATAAACTTAATCTAAGTGCAATTCCCTGTGCCTACTGATAAGCGACAATGATACAACTGTAACAGAGAGTTCCCTGGTGACCCTTCATCATAAAAGCGGTGCCCATCCCATGCCGTATGCAACTGACTTTTTCTCTGACATCGAATCTATTCCAGAATCTTTGCTGGCCATTTCCCTATTCACTCTAGACTTGGAGAGACACACCACCTGGATGACAGCGCCAGCTCTGCCACTGTGAGGCCTTATTAAAACTGTAACCTCTGCTAGACCAAGTCTTCCTACACATAGAATACCTGATTACCATAATCCCAAATCAGAGGGTTGTTAGTAAAGCAATCTGAGGGATCTAACCATCTATCCATTCATTTGATGATTGCTTATTGAGTGATGAATCGGCAACAGGCTTCATACTATCTGCATAAATGGAAAAAAACAGATAAAAATCTTGCTCCATGGAGCTTATATTTCAGTTGGAAAATATATGCAGTGATTTTCAAATTATAATACACAAGCCAAATATATAATCTGTTAGAAGGGAGTAAGTGTCTTGAAAAAGATGCTGGTAATAGAACAGAGCAGTCCACAGAGGGCTTAATCTCAAATAGGCTGGTTAAAGGTGGCCCTTGTTGAGGAGATGAGATCTGAGCAAAGGCTTAGAGGTCAAGAAAACAGCCATGTGTATTTTGGGGAAGAACTTCCAGTAAGAGAGATCAGCCACCAATATAGACCACGATGTGAAAGGACAACATGAAGTTTCGAGGAACAAAAGGGTGACTGTGTGACTGGGGTAAAGGGGCAGAGAAGGAGGGCTGAGCTCAGGAGATGGAAAAGTAGATCACAGGCTTTTGTAGGACTCTTGCTTTAAGTGAGATGGGAGCCTGAGGCAGAGGAGGGATCTGTTCTCATTTGTGTTTTGAAAGGATCTCCTCTGCTGCTGTGTGGAAAACAGACTGTACGTGGACCTGGACAAAATAAGAAAGACCATTCGCAAGGCCATTACAGTCATCCTGGAGAGCAGCGACACAGACTAGGATGAGGCTTGTGGAAGGGGAGTTGGTAGAACTGTGGAGCTCAGTAAAGAGATCCCCCCTCCACAGCAGTGAAGCCTGCAAGGCTTAGTTAAAGCCCTGGACATGGCAGAGACCCGTGCAACCAGGCTTCCCATTCACCCTCCCCACCCCCCACAGTGGTAGAGGCTGTGACTCAGGCAAGCTCAGGAGAGGAGCTCACCATCCCAGTGTCCCAGGCAGTGAAACCAATGAAACTGGCATCTGCAAGGCACCAAGGACCCTGGAGGCACAAGCAGTGATAGTCAGGGCTTGGAACCTTGCTCCTGACACAGACAGTGGAAGGTGGAAAGTGCTAACCAAAGGCAAGGATAGTTCAACATCCAGATAGGAATAAATGTGATACACCACATCAAAGAAAAATAAAACGATAAAAGCTATGTGATTATCTCAACAGACACATAAAAGCATTTGTCAATATTCAACATCCATTAACAATTAAAAAAAACTTAATAAATTGGATATAGAAGAAATGCATTTCAAAATAGTAAAGGTGACATATGACAAACTCCTAGCAAACATCATACATTCAAGGGTGAAAAGCTGAAAGCTATCCCCTTAAAATCAAGAACAAGACAAAGATGTACACCCTGTCACTCCTATTCAACATAATATTGGAAGTCCTAGCCAGAGCAATTAGACAAGAAAAAGAAAAAAAGATGTCCAAATTGGAAAGGAAAAAAGAAAACTGATGCTATTTTTGGATGTCATGATTTTATACACAGAAAACCCAAATAACTCCACCAGAAATTATTTAAAAATATAAATGAATATAAGGCTTCCCTGGTGGCTCCGATAGTAAAGAATCCACCTGCAATGCAAGAGACCTGAGTTCGATCCCTGAGTTGGAAAGATCCGCTGGAGGAGGGCATAGCAACCCACTCCAATATTCTTGCCTGGAGAATCTCCATAGACAGAGAAGCCTGGCAGGCTACAGTCCATGGGGTCACAAAGAGTCGGACATGACTGAGTGACTAAGCATATAAATGAATACAGTAAAGTTGCAGGGTACAAAATCAATAGAGAAAAATATGTTGCATTTCTACATGCTAAAAATGAGCTAGCAGACATAGAAATTAAGAAAGCAATTTTGCATTTATAATCACAACAAAAAGAAGAAAATACACACGGATAAATTTAACCAAGGAGGTGAAAGACCCATACACTGAAACCTAGACAATGTTGAAAGAAATTGAAGACTCAAATGGAAAGATATTCCATGTTCATAAATTAAAAGAAATAAAATTGTTAAAATGTCCATATTACCTATACAACTTACATATTCCATGCAATCCCTGTCAAAATCTCAAAAACACTTTTCACAAATAGAAAATGCTAAAATTTATATGGAACCACAAAAGACCCCAATAGCCAAAGAAACCCTGGAAAAAAGAAACAAAGCTGAAAGTCATCCTCTTGTGGTTTCAAACTATATTAAAAAGCCATGGTAACTGGCAGAAAAAAACATGACAATCAAGACTGCACAGTACCGGCAAAAACAAAAAGAAAAAATAGAGATACATAACCAATGGAACAGAATTGAGACCCCAGAAAAAAAATCCAGACATAAATGGATAATTGACTTATGACAAAGGAATAAAGAACAAACCATGGAGAAAGGACAGTCTCTTCAATAAGTGCTATGAAAGTTGGGAATACAAAAAAAGAAACTATTATCTCACATCATATACAAAAATCAACTCAAAATTGATTAAAAGCTTGAATCTAAGACCTGAAACCATAAAACTCCAAGGAGAAAACATAGGCAGTATGTTCATTGACATCAGTCTTAGCAGTATCTTTCTAGATATGTCAGAGGGAAACAGCAAGCTAAAAATCTCCTTCATGGTAAACAAAACCATCAAGGAAATGAAAAATTACCTACCAAACAGGGGAAGATATTTGCAAATGATATATTTGATACAGGTTAATATCCAAAGTATATAAAGAACTCATACAAGTCAACAACAAGAAAAAAAACAACCTGATTAAAAAGTGGACAGAAGCTGAATAGACAGTTTTTCATTGTCTGGAAGAAGACATTAGATGGCCAATGGGCACATGAAAAGATTGTTTAACACCACAAATTATTAGGGAAATGCAAATCAAAACCACAATTAGATATCAACTCATGCCTGTCAGAATGGCTATTAACAAAAAGGTAAAAAATGACAAGTGTTGGCAAGGATGTATAGAAAAGGGAACCCTCATACACTGTTGCTGGGAATGTAAATTGGTATAGTCACTATGGAAAAAATTGAGGACAGAACTAACATGTGATCCAGCTACCCCACTTTAGGGTATGTATCCAAAGAAGACAAAAACACTAACTCATAAACATAAATGCACCCCTATGTTTATCAAAGCATTATGGACAACAGCAAGATATGGAAACAAAAAGTGCCATCACTGGATGACTGGATAAAGAAGAGGTGAGATAGATATATGTATATACACGAAACACTACTCAGCTATAAAAAAGATGAAATCCTGCCAATTGCAACAACATGGACAGGCCTTGAGGGCATCATACTAAGTGAAATGAGTCAGATTGAGAAAGACAAATATCATATAACTTCACTTATATGTGAAATATAAAAAGCAAATAATATCAACAAAATAAATAAACCTAATGAAAATAAATGCATAGAAAACAGAATAGTAGTTACAGGGGGGTGGGGGCAAAATGGGTAAAGCAAATCAACTGTACGGTAACAGACAAAAACACAATTTTTGGTGATGCAGAGTATACAGATGCAGAAATATAATGCTGCTCACATGAAACTTTTATAATGTTAAAAACCAGTGTTACTTCAATAAAAAATTACAAATGAGAATCAAGAATGACTGGTAGGATTTTGGTCTTATTACTGAACTACTGAAGTCACACACTGAGGTCAGCAAACTGTGGCTGGAACCACTGGGGAGGAAAAAGATAAGGAATCCAGCTTTGGGCACTCGGAGGTTGAAATTGTACAGGGTTTAATGCATGAATTTGGAAGAGAGGTCTGGCTGGAGATATAAAATTTGAAATTCTAACATGTAGATAGCAATTAAAACTGAAAGGTTTAGATCACCAAGGGAGTGAGTGCAGCTTACAACGGGAATGAATTGGCACTGAGTTGTTCAGATCAAGGACCCAAAAGAAAAAGAGGGAGAGCTGAAGGACAGTGAGGTTAAGAAGAAATCAAGAGATTACATGAACATTGTCCTTGGAAAAAACAACTTTAAAAGGTCACATAATGTATAAGTGCATTTGTTAACAGCCTTAAAATTTTAAAGTTAAAGACAGAAAGTAGATGGCTGGTGGTCATGGCTTATAGATGGCAGTCAGGGAGAAGTGTTAGATGCTACTACAAAGGAATAACATGCGGTCTATCTTGATGTCAGAATAATTTTTTATCTTGATTGTGGTTCTGGTTACATAGACCTACATTTCTCATAAAATGACACAGAACTATATGCATACATTGTACCAATATATAATCCCTGGTTTTGACACTGGACTATAATTATGTAAGATGTATCCAATTGGGAAAAACTAGGCAATGGGTGGCACTAGCAGTAAAGAACCTGCCTGCCAATGCAGGAGACAAAAAAAGTCATCAGTTTGATTCCTGGGTCAGGAAGATCTCCACGAGGAAGGCATGTCAATCCACTCCAGTATTATTGCTTGGAGAATTCCATGGACAGAGGAACCTGGG